CCAGTGGCTGCCTTTGCCGCAGCTCTTTGGGCAGGTCCAGCCCACTGGAGAGATCTCAACCAGAGAAAGTGCAAAGAGATTTTCACTTTGGCCTGGGCTGGGAGTGTTCAGACTCTTGCCAGTCCTAGAAAGCACTGGCTAGCACCCACACTGACTTCTCTCAGGGGAGGGTGTGGAGCATGACTCAGACCCTAGTTGTGTTGTGCATGTGCAGAGTGCAAAAGGCTGTGGTTCTAGAGAGCCCCGGCTGTCATCCACACCAGATGCTCTCACGTGCATGCTAGTGGCTCAGGGACCATGGCCTGGCTGCTTCACAGCATTCTCTTTGGCATGGCATCGGCAGTGGCCATCCTGGGTCTGTGGGTTTGAGCTCATGCACCCGTAACTGCCTGATTCCACCAGTTTCCCCTTAATATCTTTTGCTCTTTTTGAGTGCTTTTAATCATACTCCAAGTTAATGCTGGTCCTCAATCACAGGGCACTCTCATATTGGGGTATTACTTTCCAATGGGTCGCTTATGGTGGCTCCCTACCCCTTTTGTTTATTTTCCGGTATCAGTCCGACATTCCCACTCTGCTTTACCTGTCCACTGGCTTGTCTTCTGCCCCCTGTAAAGATCTAGAAGTGTATAATCCTACATTTCAGGATGATTTCATGGGTGTTCAGAGTGTTCTGGTAGATAAACATCTCACTTTAGGGGACCAGTTGAAACAGTATCTCCTACTCCTTTGCCATATTCCCCCCACCAAAAAAATCATTTATTGTCTTCTTAATTTTGGCCATTCTAACTGATGCAAGGTGGTATCTCAATGTGGTTTTGATTTGAATCATCCTGATAGCTAAAGATGAACATTTTTTCATGTGTCTGTTAGCCATTTGTATTTCTTCTTTGGAGAAGTGTCTGTTCATGTCTTCTGCACATTTTTTGATGTGATTATCTGTTTTGTGTGTGTTGAGTTTGAGGAGTTCTTTATAGATCTTGGATATCAGCCCTTTGTCTGTACTGTCATTTGCAAATACCTTCTCCCATTCCATGGGTTGTTTCTTTGTTTTGTTGACTGTTTCCTTTGCTGTGCAGAAGGTTTTGATCTTGATGAAGTCCTAAAAGTTCATTTTCACTTTTGTTTCTTTTGCCTTTGGAGACATGTGTGTTGAAAGAAGTTGCTGTGGCTGAAGAAATAGGCTCTTAACTATAGAGAACAAACTGATGGTTACCAGAGGGGAGGTGGGTGAGGGAACGGATTAAATAGGTGATGGGAATTAAGGAGTGCAGTTTTTGTGATTTTACCACGTGTTATAAGTAAGTATTGAATCACGATATTGTACATCTAAAACTAATATTACACTGTATGTAACTGGAATTTAAACAAAAACTTTTAAAAAAGGGTAAAAAGAACCATATTATCATTTCAGTTGATGCAGAAAAAGTATTTGACAAAGTACAACACCCATTCATCATAAAAACCCTCAACCAAGTAGCTTTATCTCTAAATATTAAAGGCCATGTATGAAAACTACACAGCTAACATGATCCTCAATGGGGGAAAACTGAGAGCTTTCCCCCTAAGGATAGGAACAAGACATGTATGTCCATAATTATTCAACATAATACTGGAAGTTGTAGCCACAGCAATCAGACAATAAAAAGAAGTAAAGGCATCCAAATCAGTAAGGAAGAAGTAAATTTTCACTATTTGCAGATGACATGATACTCTACATAGAAATCCTGAAAACTCTCAAAAAATGCTAGACTGATAAGTGAATTCGGAAATGTTGCAAGATACAAAATCAGTGTACAGAAATCTATTGCATTTCTATACACCCATAATGAAGCAGCAGAAAGAGAGATTAAGAAAAGAATCCTATTTACACTTGCACCAAAAACAATAAGGTACCTAGGAACAAACCTAACCAAAGAGATATAAGATCTATAGTCTGAAAACTATAGAACACTTATGAAAGAAATTGAGAAAGAAACAAAGACACATACTCATGGATTGGAAGAACAAATATTTTTAAGAAGTTTATGCTACTCAAAGCAATCTACACATTTAATGCAATCCTTATCAAAATACAAACAGCATTTTTCAGAGAGCTAGACCAAACAATCCTAAAATTTGTATGGAACCACAAAATATCCTGAAAATCAAAGCAATCTTGAAAACTGAAAACAAGGCTGAAGGCATCAGATTTCTGGATTTCAAGTTATGTTATAAAGCTGTAGTAAATAAAACAATATGGTGCTGGCACAAAAATAGACACATAGATCAATGTAGCAGAATAGAAAACCCAGAAGTAAACTCACAATTACATATGGTCAATTACTCTTCAATAAAGCAAGGAAGAATATCTAATGGAAAAAAGACAGTCTCTTCAATAAATGGTGCTGGGAAAATTAGAGAGCCACATGCAGAAGAATGAAACTGGACCATTGTCTTACAACATACAAATAAAATGAATTCAAAATAGATGGAAAACTTAAATGTGAAACAGGAATCCATCAGAATTCTAGAGGAGAACACCGGCAGAAACCTTTCTGACTTATACAACTCAACACCCAGAAAATGAATAATCCAATTAAAAAATGGCAGGACACATGAACAGACATTCTTTCAAAGAAGACATACAGATGGCCAACAGACACATGAAAGATGTTCAACATGACTCATCTTCAGGGAAATACAAATCAAAACTACAATGAGATATTACTTCATACCTGTCATAATGGCTAAAATTAAAAAAAAATGCAAGAAACAAGTGTTGGTGAGGACATGTAGGAAAAGGAACTCTTGTGCACTTCTGGTAGGAATGTAAACTTGTGCAGTCACTATGGAAAACAGTATGAAATTTCCTCAAAAAGTTAAAAATACGACTACCCTATCATCCAGTAATCATGCTACCCATAGTTTCACTCTTATGTGGATTTTAAGAAACAAAAAATACCTTCAAAAGAAAAAAAAGAGAGAGAGAGAGAGAGTTAGACAAACCAGAAAAACCCTCTATGGATAGGGAACACATTGATGGTTACCAGAAGGAATATGGGTGGTATGAATGGGTGAATAGGTGATGAAGAATAAGGAGTGCAATTGTCTTAATGAGCACTGAGTGATGCATGGGATTTTGGAATCACTGTGTTTTACACCTGAAACTAATATAGCACTGTATGTTAACTACACTGGAATTAAAATATAACAAAAAGATGTTTTAATTTTATTTTCTTTTAACAATGAAGGAAAAATCAAATATAGCAATTAATTTATAATAATGTAGCTAATGAGATTATTTGTTTTTATACCAAAGCAGTTGTAAAGTATATTTTTTAGTACTTCTTTATGAAAGAAGGGGCCCACAAAGGCAAACATGTCTAAGGTCCACAAAAGTCATGATGCAGCCCTAATGTCAGTAGGATTACTACATTTGCTTACAACAGTATATGAAGCTAGCTTTTTTTTTTTTTTGAAGCTAGCTTTTTATAGCATTTGAGAACATAAAGACCCTAGTTCTCTGAGTATCAGCTGTTTGCATGAGGTGCCAAATAAGAAAGAATGCCGGTCCGAATTGTTTTGTGGATCTATCTGTAAGCTTCTGAACAGGGTCCCAACTTCCTTATCCATTCGTCTGTTGAAGGGCATCTTGGTTCTTTCCACAGTTTGGCAACCGTGGCCATTGCTGCTATAAACATTGGGGTACAGATGGCCTTTCTTTTCACTACATCTGTATCTTTGGGGTAAATACCCAGTAGTGCAATTGCAGGGTCATAGGGAAGCTCTATTTTTAATTTCTTGAGGAATCTGCACACTGTTTTCCAAAGTGGCTGCACCAACTTGCATTCCCACCAACAGCGTAAGAGGGTTCCCCTTTCTCCACATCCTATCCAACACATGTTGTTTCCTGTCTTGCTAATTTTGGCCATTCTAAGTGGTGTAAGGTGGTATCTCAATGTGGTTTTAATTTGAATCTCCCTGATGGCTAGTGATGATGAACATTTTTTCATGTGTCTGATAGCCATTTGTATGTCTTCATTGGAGAATTGTCTGTTCATATCTTCTGCCCATTTTTTGATATGATTATCTGTTTTGTGTGTGTTGAGTTTGAGGAGTTCTTTATAGATCCTGGATATCAACCTTTTGTCTGTACTGTCATTTGCAAATATCTTCTCCCATTCTGTGGGTTGCCTCTTTGTTTTGTTGACTGTTTCCTTTGCTGTGCAGAAGCTTTTGATCTTGATGAAGTCCCAAAAATTCATTTTCACTTTTGTTTCCTTTGCCTTTGGAGACATATCTTGAAAGAAGTTGCTGTGGCTGATATCGAAGAGGTTACTGCCTATATTCTCCTCTAGGATTCTGATGGATTCCTGTCTCACGTTGAGGTCTTTAATCCATTTTTAGTTTATCTTTGTGTATGGTGTAAGAGAATGGTCAAGTTTCAACTTCATCTGAGAGTGGATCCTGGCCCTGCTCAAGCCCAGCTTGTAAACTTTCTTTCCTCAGCAATTAAGAAGCCAAAAGGAAAGGGGGTCGGTACTCAACATGCTACAGCTTTGTTTTTTCCTTAGTTGTGGCTTTCCTTCAGGCAGAAGGCAAAAATGTAACTCCCACAGGTGATGCTTTACCGTCCTCCTGACAGACATATCCTTAGCATACTGCTCTGTTTTCTTCAGCAGGCAAAAGCTGCTGCTTCCTCCAAAGGGCAAATCAGTCAACAAGAATGGTAGGGTATCAGTGCTATTTCTCACTCTTCATGGTAGCTTTTTAATGTCATTGAATGTCATTGAATCCAGTTCTTTCACTTTATGGAAAACTGAAGTCCAAAGGAAAAGGTGACTTGCCTGAGGTCACAATCCAAATTTGTGTCATAGCCAGGAATAGAAACCACTTTCTCTCTAAGGGCAAATAACATATGCATTTAGTACCAACTTTTGTATTTGTAATATGAGGATAATGTTGTTAATTTCCAAAGATGGTTTCTACTGTGTGGCATATAATCTATATTTTGACAGATCAAGATATCCTACGTAAACTGGAGAAAGAAAAGATTCTTGTCTTCACACCATCCCGAAGGGTCCAGGGCAGGAGAGTTGTCTGTTATGATGACCGGTTCATAGTCAAATTGGCTTTCGATTCCGACGGCATCATTGTATCTAATGATAACTACCGAGACCTTCAAGTTGAAAAGCCAGAATGGAAGAAGTTTATAGAGGAGCGGTTGCTGATGTATTCTTTTGTGAATGACAAGTACGTTGTTTTCAATAGGCTCTGAATAGACTAAATCCAAGTTGCACTAGGAATAGATTATTTCATTTCAATAAACATTTACTGAACACTTACTGTGTACTGTGTATTATGCTGATTGCCATAGAGATAAGAGGTTGAATAAGAAACAGGACTCACCCTTAAAAGAGGCTCAAAGTGTAGTGGAGAAGAGAAAGAAAGAGAGACACAATGTGTTGTGATAAGCAGTATGGTTAGAGTTTTTAAAGTTGCTTTGTCTACATGAAATGATAGGAAAAAACCTCAAACAGGAGATGACATTTGAGATGAAGTTTACAAACAGAAGAAAGGGGACTACTGGGTGTTATAGGTAAAGAGAACATCATGAATAAAGCTATAAAGATGTGAAAGTGAGTCTCATGTTGGGGAGCCACCAGGAATGCCAGTATGGTTGAAACATATAATCCACAGAAGAAGATACACTGGAAAAATCATCTTGTGGTGTGTGTGTGTGTGTGTGTGTGTGTGTGTGTGTGTGTTCAAGTGAGAATGGGGGAAGAACTGCTGGCCTAGCTTAAGGCAGAAAGGGCAGTTAGAAGGCTGTGACAATAGTATAGGTAAAGAGTACTGAAGGTCTGAACTCCTGAAGTGGGGGTGGGGATAGAAAGGAAGATGTTTACCTCTTGCTTGTTTGCTTTCAGATTTATGCCTCCAGATGATCCTTTAGGACGTCATGGCCCAAATCTTGAAAATTTCTTGAGAAAGAGACCTGTTGTTCCAGAGCACAAGAAGCAACCATGCCCTTATGGTGAGTACCTATGTGCAGAACTGAGTTCTATACTAAGGGAAACATAAGGACTATATGAATACTTACTTCTCAAAGGTTTCCCTTTCGAATGGAAAATCTTATCTTGTCCACTTCCTGGGAGTTTAAGTCTGTGACTTTATGTATTCTCAGTTAGGCATTTAAAGAAACATCTTATAAACCACATGAAGGAAAGGTAACTAGAATTGAAGGAAAGATTAGTTGTCACTCGTTTAAATAATGCAGGCGCTCTAGCTGCCTCCATCCTGACCAGTGTTGCTGGAGGCAGGGAAATGCAGAAACCCACATGGCCTATGGAAGCAGAAAGGGCAAAGCCAAATTGGATTTGGCCACAGGAAGGACGTATCTCTCAAGCAGGTGATTGCACTCTCTGTCAACTAATAATACTCTTTTCTTCAGTTCTGTATTTTCCAGTTTGCCTTCAAACTTCATTTTCATTTACTCTTTTAAAATATAGTTTTCTAGAGTGCTTTCATGATCTTACACAAGTCCCTCTGACACAAAGTTTGTAAGCCTAACAGTGCAACATAGGCTGCCTGGTCTGAGGCTACTTTGCATGTTTACTCTTTTTGGATAATCATTTATTTATGGGATGTCTTGGGTTTTTTCTTTTTATCAATTAACATTTATTTAAATTATATAGTATTTTCATGTTCATTATCGTCATTTAATCTTCACAATGACCATATAATATAGGCATAATTATGAACTTTTTTTACAGAAGAGGAAATTGAGGCTCAGAAGGTAAATTCACTTATGAAGGTTACATGGCTAGTAAGCGACAAAGCTGGAATTGAAACACAGGTCTGACTGGCTTCCAAGCCTATGCTTTTTGCATTGTACTATGCTGCCTGCTGCTATCCTACACCACCTCAGCATGCAGGTTATGCCTAGGCAAAGTTGTGAATTACAGGAAAATGAAGGCTGTTCAACTGCTCAGTTCTTAGCTTTTACACTGTGGTTTCCTCCCCAGCTTTCCACTTCTTCCCTCTCCCCTCACAGTGTGTGATGCCTCCTTGATGTTGTCCTGCCTCTCTCATCTTTGTGGACAGTTAATTTTCTTCTTTAAGCCCAAACACTAAAACTCTTACTTGAGTAACCAGATTGTTACAACAGTTTCTGACAGATTTGCAGCAGTATGAGAGAGAGTCTTACCCCAAGGCATTATTTTTCAGGCAAAAAATGCACCTATGGCCACAAGTGCAAATACTACCATCCGGAGCGGGCCAACCAACCACAGCGTTCGGTGGCTGATGAGCTCCGCATCAGTGCCAAACTGTCCACAGTGAAAACCGTGAGTGAAGGCACCCTGGGCAAGTGCGGCACAGGGATGTCTAGTGCCAAAGGTGAGACAACCTCAGAAGTCAAACGTGTGGCCCCCAAGCGCCAATCAGATCCCAGCATCCGGTCCATGGCTGTGGAGCCTGAGGAATGGGTGTCCATTGCCCGTAAGCCTGAGGCCAGCTCTGTCCCCTCACTTGTGACTGCCCTAAGTGTCCCCACAATCCCACCCCCCAAAAGCCATGCAGTGAGTGCACTCAACACCCGTTCAGCCAGCAGCCCGGTGCCAGGATCCTCTCATTTCCCCCACCAGAAGGCCTCACTGGAGCACATGGCCAGCATGCAGTACCCCCCGATCCTGGTTACCAACAGCCATGGGACCCCTATTAGCTATGCTGACCAATACTCAAAGTTTGAGTCCTTGGGGGACCATGGCTACTATTCAGTGTTAGGCGACTTCTCCAAACTGAACATCAATAGCATGCATAATCGAGAGTACTACATGGCTGAAGCAGACCGAGGGGTATATGCCCGAAATCCCAGCCTCTGTCCTGACAACCGTATGAGCCATACCAGGAATGACAACTATTCCTCTTACAACAATCTATACTTGGCTGTAGCTGATAGTCATCCTGAAGGCAATTTGAAGCTACATCGCTCCGCATCTCAGAACCGTCTTCAGCCTTTTCCTCATGGTTACCATGACGCCTTAACGCGAGCACAGAGCTATGGCCCAGAGGATTCTAAACAAGCCCCCCACAAGCAGTCAGTTTCCCACTTAGTTTTGCAAGCCCAGCATCCAGCAACTGGAGCCTGCTCCAGCTGTCCTGGAGACTACCCTATGCCTCCCAATATCCATCCTGGGGCAACCCCTCAGCCAGGACGTGCCCTTGTAATGACTCGGATGGACAGCATTTCTGACTCCCGCCTCTATGAGAGCAACCCCATGAGGCAAAGACGACCTCCTCTGTGCCGGGAACAACATGCCAGCTGGGATCCATTGCCCAGTGTAACTGATTCCTATGGCTACCACTCCTATCCCTTGAGTAACAGCCTCATGCAACCATGCTATGAGCCAGTCATGGTACGGAGCGTGCCTGAAAAGATGGAACAGCTTTGGAGGAATCCTTGGGTTGGAATGTGCAATGATAACAGGGAGCATATGATCCCAGAGCACCAGTATCAGACTTATAAGAACCTCTGCAATATTTTCCCTTCAAACATCGTCCTTGCAGTGATGGAGAAGAATCCCCACACTGCAGATGCCCAACAACTGGCAGCTTTGATTGTTTCTAAGCTTAGGGCTGCTCGTTGACATGACATAGGACTTATTCCTTTATACAAAAATAAATATTAATATTAATAATGCACTAATACTATGATAATAGTAACAAATAATTTTGTGTTGCGCTTTACAAGTTACAATGTTTATGTTATTTGAAGCGCAAAACAGCCCTGTATGGTAAATCTTACTAATGTCTTATTTTCTAGAAAAGGAAACTAAATCTCACTGAGATTAAGTTACTTGCCAAGATCACACTGCTAGCAAGTGACCAAACCAGGACTCATACTCGAGTCCTCTGACTCCAAGTCCCATGCTTTTTTGCACAGCACCATGCAATGGAGGACAAAACTCAGGGGAAGAGGTCTAAATACAAGAAACTCCCAAGGGATTCCATTACCAATGCTTTCTTAATCACATTCTACATTATAAAGTATTGATAATATATCTAATTTAGAGAGCAGGATCAAATCACATGTTGAATTAACCTTTTGGGATTTTTAATAGGATATTTAAAGCTATTTAAAAGTAAATGCATAAATTATTGCATGACTATCTGACCATTCAATATCTTTACTAACCAAGCTACAGGGTCACATCAAGGCTTCTAGAGATATATTTCAAACCTATTGTTAACAACTATAGTGCATGTATAACTGTAAATATTTAGTTTGAGATGTTTGTGTATCTCCATATAACCTTTTATATAGTGATGGTAAGAAAAGCTCTGCACAGTCCTTAGTCTACAGTTGTATAGATCATGAATCCAACTTGATTTTATGTCACATTTCATAGTTTCAACTAGTTTTGAAAGTGAAATTACATGCCAATATTTGAATATTGTTTTCTTAGACATCAGAGCATACTAGCTCTATTTTCTTTGCACTTTTTACTTGTCAACAGTTACTGACAGTTCTTAGCTTTTAAGTCTCTTCACCTTAGCAAATTAGGGATCAGATTACAGCTTTCTTCTTCAGAGGAGCTGATGGATAAGCTCAAGTTCTAAGCATAGCAGGTGTGTGCTAGACAAGCACAGAAAAGTTTGAGAGGACCAAGGGATTTATTACCAGACTCCACTTCCCTTTTCCCAGGGGTGATGGTCAAACTTGTGCAGCATTACATGATGGACACAAAAGCTGCACTCAAAGAGGGTCTAATGGATACTCTTTAGACTTCTGACCTATGCAGTATTCCACATCAAAGGATAAAATGTAATGGAGGACAGTGCACAGACATGTAATCCACTTTCTTCTGCTGTCTACCCTTTGGGCAATAAGGTCAATAACTGATGGAACAGAATTTCTTTAGGAAACAAAACCAGGGTATTTTCTAAGTGGAAAAAGGCAGCTCACAAAAGGGGTTGCTACATCTTTGCTAATAGCTGGTTCAGTTATGCACTTCAAATACATGCAAAAAGGATGCACTTACCCTTAGATAATTCTTAAATGCATTACTAAACACTGCAGGACTTTGGGTTGGCACCATTTGTGCAACTAGTATCTTGCTCAGGGTGGAAACCTTTGTAGCTAAATGCCTCTAAAAGAGGCATTTATTTTTTTAAGCCGTACTAAATGAACCCCTTTTTTAATCCATTGTATATTAAACATTTTGGACCATGACCTACTCACTACTTCTTGAGATGGAACTTGCTAATTTCTATGAATTTTTTTTTGTCATGAAAGTTGAGAAGGCCTGGAGTAGGTCTTTTGTGTGACACTGCCTATAAATGTTTCTTACTGTGAAACATTCCACATGTGAGGCTGTAGTCAGGGTTGTTTTTGGTTGTTTGATAATGGCTTGCATGCTGCTTTCTGGCTTTCTGTCTCTGTCCTTGTTGACCAAAACTGCATTTCAACCAGCATTTCTCTTCAGTTAATCACAGCTTCATATTCATCTTCTACCCTCTGATCTTTCTGTTCCCCAGCATATTGAGGTGTAAAAGTATTTTCTGTCAGGTATAAAATAGAGAGTGACAGTTGCCACTGAAGTGTTTGCAATTCACACAGTTTCACCCAAATTTCACACAAATATAATTTCCTATCTTCAACTTCTTGGACCTCCTGAATCTGTCCCATGTCTAAATCAGGGTATTTGACAATCTTAGATGACTGTACTGCCTTTGTGCCAATTCATCTTCCTACCACAATCATCAATGGTACCACAGTATCCACTAGTTGTGAAATTTACAGGGAAGCACATGGTTTATCTTGTCAGCTGCAATTTATCTTGAACATGTTCATGTTTAGTACTCAGAAAAACTGTAGGCTCCTCCCAACACAGGAAATATTTTAGGGCAGCATATGTATTTTTTATTTTCAAAAAACAATTGTCATTCTTCTTATAAAATGTGTATGAACTGAAGTAACAAAAAGCAATGCCTAATTAACCATAAATGACCTTTTGTTGATACAAATTATATCTTTTTTCCCTGATTGTATAAAAACCAAATGTACAAAACTTATAATAAACTAAGTTAGGTAACTGACTTTCACCATGATGTTTCTGGCATTGTGTGTCACAGGAAAGCAGCCTGGGAGGTCATAAGGAAGCTATTTCCAAAGAGCAAGCTTCTTTATTACTATGCACACAGCTATTGTGTGTACAGTTTCAAGCATTATTTTGCATAAGTTCTCTTTAGCCTATTAAATTTAATATGCCCCTGCAAAGGGAATTTTGTGTCAAAAGTGTTTAAGAAGCATAAATATATGAATGCGTAAATCTAGCATGGTTTTTAGTGAAGTTATTAGAAAAACATTTTCTCTATACGGAGTTCTGCATACTTCTTGACTTTTTCCATTTTGTTTGTAATTATAAAACAAGAAATAGAAAGAAGCATTGGGACCTTCTCAGCTCTCCTGCTAATAAAATCAGGCTTCCTTTCTAGGGTTAAGCATGTGTCCTGCTGAATACTTACCTCTAAGCACTCAGCAAGAATTACTGCACAGTGTGCTGTGTGGTTCCAAGGACCAGTATATTTTGCAAGAGGTGCTTTGTACTTCTAATTTTTTTCACTAAATTTCTGAATTCATAGCAATTCTGTGCCTGCTCAGGCCTTAGATTTTGTAGATTTTGTGATTTTTTTTTCTCTTTTTGTGATTTTGTTGTTATTTTTATTTCAACCTGAAGAAGTGTGATTCTGGAGTGGCATGGTCAATCCAGTTACAAGAGCCCTTTCAAGGTAGCATATAGCCATTGCACTGTCTCTTAAAATGCAAAGTATGGAAGGGAGAATGACAGATGCCTTATGGAAAAGGTCTGTAAAAGTTTTCTTTCTTCTAAGTAAGAATATAAGTACTCTCTCTCTCTTAATCTCTCTCTCTCTGCTAGTTTCCAGAACTATGAAAATCTACTTTTCTATTTGAGAATAAATTATCTTTATACAGTAATTCAAACATCGATACACATTAACCTTTGCCACTGAGCTTTCTTCTAACATAGAAGAGTTCATTTTGAGAGGCGTTCTGTTACTGTTCTATCTATGCTGTTAGTACGGGACTTTGTACAATTGCCCTTTCTGAGGGCCAACACTTTCAATACACTTTTACTCTGTGAACCAGGTCTGAGACTGCACAGGGAAAATAACGTTAAGCTATCCAAAGAGCCCTGCTCATGTGTCCTCCTAATTCTTCTCTGCGTTCCCCTATTTTTCTTCTCCTCACGTCTGACACTGAGGAGGGCATAGTCTTAAACTGAAGTGGCAATACAGTTTGTTCTCACTGGAAACCAAACCAGTATTTTTGGGGAACCTGCTTGTCTATAGTAGTTGATGCCTTTGAAAAGACTCAGCATATTAAATGTCTATCATATTGTAGCTAGCTATATACATAGGCAGATTGACTATTTCTAGTCCTGATTTGTATATCACTGAGCTATAGTAGTTTGCTTTATCCATTTGTGGGATTAAACAAATACTGTTTAATGGTTGTAAACTTTTATAAAACCGCTTTGGGTTTTTTGTTTGACCCAAACATAATGTAAGTCTCAATGACAAAAATACACAAAGCCAACCAGAGGTGAGTGAAAATATATCCCATCCCCAGTTTTGTCTACCCCTATAATGCAGGTGCAGTGCTTTGCAATGTTCTCACTAGCATGAATGTGCTATGACTACCTAATGAGGTTTTAATTGGTTTCACCTATAATCATGACTGAAAATGCTGTATCATTGATGATAATGAACTGTAACACATTTATTTTCTGCATAAACTATTTGTCTACTAACTACTAATGGCTGTGTTTCTTTAAGAACATCAACAACAAAAGCCATACCACACCGACCTACACACATACTCTAGATCTCTTCTAAAAACCTCATTTTTTTGCCCTTGGGGAATTTCAATAAAAACTTGAAACTACAAGGAAAAAAAAATCTGTCCTTGGGACTTGCAAGAAGAGAGTTCTCCCCAAATGAGTTCAATCTGAATTTTATCACAGTAAGCAAATGTCTTCCTTTCTCTTTGTATACTAAAGAAGCTTCAAGTGCTACTCATCCGGTGTTTCTCATAGGCCTGGACTGGGCCAAGCCTCCACTCATAGGTCAGAACTAGATGGAGGGCTCAGGGCCCAGATTAGTTTCTTCCCTGAATAGCGTTAGGGCCACAGAAATATCATGTGCTGGGCATTAACCAAAATATCAGCACTCAAAGCAGCCTGGCACCCTATACTTTACAGAGAAGTCACTGGTGGAATGCTCAGCTGCATCAACTCCATCAGGTTATAGGTGTGGGAACTGAGGATCCAAGAATTAAAGAGATTTGATTAAGGCTTAACAAGGAGGTAATGGCAAAGCCATGGACTGGAACTTCAGGCATCCTTGCTCCCAGGCCAGTGAGCTCTTTTTTTTTTTTTTAAGATTTTATTTATTTATTTGACAGACAGAAATCACAAGTAGGCACAGAGGCAGGCAGAGAGAGAGGAGGAAGCAGGCTTCCTGCTGAGCAGAGAGCCTGATGCAAGGCTTGATCCCAGGACCCTGGGATCATGACCTGAGCCAAAGGCAGAGGCTTTAACCTACTGAGCCACCCAGGCGCCCC